TATACGTGAAAACTTCTAGGAAATAGGAGGGAGGGAGGGAGGCAGGGAGCTAATTGAACGATTTGTCGTTGAGAATTTCGGAATCCCTGCGGGATTAGTAGTGCCGCGGCTTTGAATCCCAGACGCCTTCTAAACGGCTGTTAACCAAGCAATTTCGCAAATTGTTCGGAAACTCCCTTTCCACGCGGTTAAGTCGTCTGGTTTGATGGCCGCGCCGCAGGAATACTCGCGTGTCATAATCGTAAAATCAATCAACAACTTTTAACGCGTCTACCGCATAATTATTTTATATCCATTTAAATAGATCAACTGTGATTCCATATAATTCTGCGAATAATAATGCCAATTAAATTGCAAAATAAATATAATGATGCGATTCTACTTTTTATCATAAATAAGCACTTCGAATGAACTTATGAGATTGCATTTACACGCAGTTTTCCCGTTTGATATTTCGCTGGAAAGTTTGAAAAGGAGAACCGTAGTTCCTTTGGGGGAGAACGTAACGGGCGGGGGGGTGATGGGAATGCGAGCGGAAACTTTTTGCTTAATCGTCGAGGAAAATTTATTTCTGTTGCGCAAAGGTTTTCCCGTTCGATCAAACGGCTGGTGGACGGGGGAGTTTCCACGGTCGGAACGAAATTATTGTGTCGCCAGGGGGTTGAGCTCCCCGGAGCAAGGAATATCAGCGAAATCGTCTTTTGTTCGACACTTCCCTCCTTTCACGTTTCAGGCAACCCCTCTTCCTGCAATTTCGCAAATTGTCGAGCCCCGAGGAGCCTTTTCTCAGGCTTGGCCCCGCGCCTGATTTATCCTGATCGAAAATATTCGTTACAGTTATGGGACATACTAATATAATAAATTCAGACGAGATACCAAAGTTCCTAAACATTCTTCCATTCAATTTAATATTAAATGTTGAGAGACATTTTATGTCTCCTCTGTACCTACTGAAATTCTTTTAGGAGCAGGTGAACTTAAAGACGAACGACTAATTTCAACTCTAATTCTTTTCCCATTTTTTATGCTTTACCTACTGTGTAATTTATAAAGTTGTTAGTTATTTCATTGAAGTATGTTACATTTATTCAGTGAACATAACAAACGACTAATTGCTTTCTTTTCTCTGATATTTAATCAATTTCTTAGTTACTCTTGCATGTAAGTTTTGTTTTAATCCTATGTTTTCGTCACGAGCGTGGTATACGGGCCGCGGCAACGCACGAGGCGGTTATCGCGCTCCTGCCCGCCTTGTATACGAACGCTCTGGTTGGTCGGTAATTTTTGTTAATAACTCGACAACCACGCCTCGGACAACTTTTTTGCAAAGGAAAATGTTGTTTAAAATCACCATGGCTCCTCCCCATTAGAAGGCCTAACACTAGTTCTGGGACACCCTGTATATACACACTGATTCTAATTTGTTTTTACATTTTCGCACTCCCATGAAGTTCGTATATGAAGTGGAGAACTCGATAAACTATATTCTCGATCCGCTTTACAGACGATGAAAGATTGTCTTCTTTATGCCCTTTTTATAAAAAATATGGTGTGCGACACGGGCCGAATGCACCTCTCCAGGCTCGGACAATGATTTGAGCAGCTCATGTTCATCTCGGGCGCCTGTGGACGCCCTCGACTGCTACTCGTGCTCAAGCATCAACCTCGCCCGGAAAGTCCCACTTTCGGCACTTGGTGCACAATATAGTAT